AATTGCATGTTTTTATTATAACTGGATATCTATATTCTATACTATTTATTAATACAAACTTAAGTAGTATAAAAGCATTTAACACAGTTTGTAGCAAAACTTTCAAAAGCGTACGAAGGATCCTCATTTCCCCCTATATATAATTATATATCTTTTTTAAATGTTGTTAATAAAAAATTATCAAATAATTTTTTTTAATTATTAATAAAAAAATATTTTATAATTGCGATATGTAAACATTAAATGTTCGGTTAAGAGAGATACAATACACAATTATTAATGAAATTAATCATATATGCGAATAGACATTGAATCCAATAAATATTGGAGATATTACATTATTACGTAATGTATAGATATGACAAGATTATAATTTTGTTATACATAATAATCTAGTGAAAATGTTACTTTATAATCTCCGAATGACATTTCACACAATTCTTCAATTTGCTCTCGAGAATGAATATGGCCTCTGGCACGCTGTAATTATCCAAGATATTATTTTATTTCCATAATAAAAGAAGTTTAGTTCAAAATAATTAACGTAAATCATACTTGGCAAAATCGATTGTCACTAGTATGGTGTTGATATATTGAAATTGCGCGCAAACGACCATCAACATAGAGACGTAAAAAGTATCGTAGCAAACAATTCCAAGCGCAGAAGATAGTCCGCCAATTACTTGCATAAGATATAGGCAAACATAATTGTAAGTATTGTCGGTGTTTAACGGATACCATCCGACAAATGGTAAATTTCTCGTTTTAAATGTATAATTAATCGAGTTTATCTGGTCAGGTGCCCATTCTAAGAGCAACGGAGTGGAACACCAATGTAGAACGCCGTAAATGCAAACGAGCGTCCACCACCACACGAAAAAATTAGAATGTTTACGCGCGTGTTCCATTTCATTCTTGTATATTTGACATCCTGATAAAAAAATCTTCGTTAGCAATCTCAACACACAGAAATAATAGATTTCAATATTAATAATTCGCGAAAGAAACTATATGTAATATTGAAGAACGCGGATTGCATTTCTGAAATCAGCATATATAGCGTGGGCAATGATTTCATAAATATTCACTAATTGTAAGTTTGGAACATGAAAAGTCGGGCGATGCAACGTTATTAATAATACAATCTTTATTTACTCCTGTTGGATAGAAAGTGATTTAAAATATTACCTTCCGTGATATTTTATAATACCTTCATAATGGAAAATACGAATAAGTTACCCCGCTAATTATTATTAAATAGATAATTAACATACCTTTCTTGCTGTCATTGATCCGTTGGCAAAGTACGTGGCATTTTTTTAATTGCTCCACGATATCGACGATTTCTTTATTTCTCCATATACAATAACACCATTTCATCAAGCCCACGAAGTGCATGTTAATTACACCGATAATATTTGCAAATAATTTTAGATCATTGTTCATCGTAAGCACCACTATTTCTGAGAACAGGAGCAGGAAGTTTGCCGATATGAAAACAATCGTCGCTCCCCATGAGAGCAATATTTTAAGTGGCGAAAATGATTCAGTGGGCCAAATTCGGGCGTATCCGAGTGCCAAGAGCAAGTACTTGATGTAATATTCTAAAGATAAAGCATCTTTTCCCCTGCTTTTATCATCCTCGTCCTTGCGATTCATGTCTGGAAAGTAGAAAGGGGTAGATGGAGGCACATATCTGAAAAATCGAAACGAAACCGTTCTTTGAGAAACGCATGCCCGGCTGCAGTTTAGACGTGTGGTGAAAAGATACGACTTTTTGGCGCAAGTACGTGAGGGATATAATACGACTCTACAAATTAATAGGAGAAATCGCTTGTTTGTGCAAATTAGCAAAAGAAATTATTCAAAAAAGGTTAAGAAACGAGCATATAAGTAAATTTAGTTCTTAAAAATTAAAAGTTTTTACTCATTGTCAGACAATTTCTACACAAGACAATAGAACGTTTCGACTCCAAAAAGTCCTCCTCAGCTAATAACAAATTATTATATATAGAGTAACTCCGGTATATACGCCGTGCGAGGATTTATGCAGAAGTCAGAAGTAAAAATAATTTTCTTGCAACTATTCGCTGTTACATACCTTTATGTTATATTAGTATTGTGTTACGATTTTTACTGTTAATATTTATAAAATTGTTGTAATGTATTGTATTAAATCGATTTATCACTGTAAACAACCATAAGTTATAATCTACATAAAATGATTATTGTAGGAAATATAAAAAGCTTTAGATTATTTGTATATTTTTTGAGTCATTCATTTCACCCGTTAGTAGCCGTACAACCCACTTATATTTTCATACGACAAAAATGCAAGGGTTTAAAGAATTTTTTTTAAATATCAAAAATAAATATTTTGAATTTCTGATATTTTTTTCATAGTATTAAACAGTCTAAAGTTTTTACTGATATAGTTAATTTACCTTGATCATAATTAATAATATCTGATAAATTAAGTTTTTAATAGGTGCGGCGTATATACCGGAATTACCCTATAAGGTCAAACGAGAAAAATAAAAAGGTTTAACACGAAGAAAAAATAATATTGTTACGCTCGCGTCTAAGTCCGCGTCTAAGCCGCGTCATCCCGTATGTACGAACGAGCCGACGAAAGGAGATTGTTTCCTGGACGACGGACTGTCGGCTGTCAAATGGACGTCATTAGAGAGAGAGAGCTGAGCTGTCAGTGCGAACGGACGTGTTCTGACCTACTCTGTTTCTTGTATTACGTGCGTTCTTGTGTGTTGTGTTCATTAAAGAGTTTATTCATTTTGTTAAACGAGTCCCCTTATTTCCGCGAAAGCGTCGGAACGCGAACGCGCACGCGAACGCGAGTGCGCGAGAACGACTCCCGGGCGTAACAATATAATTAACAAATTATAAGAAAGTGAGAGGCCGCGTGTTACATTTTAAAGCGGGGCGGATTGATTTCGCAACGAATTTGACAGATAATGTATATAGTACATACATATCATTTTTACGACTGATTAATAAGTCGTGAAATGCATGTTCGCCCACGGTCATTGATTCTGTCCCTCGGAAATTTTCACAAACTCTGAAGTGATCACTTTTCTACATTAATGTTTATTAGTCCATGCACGATTTTGTTTCGTTAATCGTGCATGGATGAGCATTAATGTAAAAAAGTGATCACTTCAGAGTTTGTAAAAATTTCCGAGGGACAGAATCAATGATCGTGGGTGCTCATATCGTAGGGAATATGTATTAGTATAATGTACATATTGTGATAAAAAATATATTAGTAAAATATACATATTGTAAATATAAAGGTTCATAAAGGTTCATGTACATAAAAAATATAAAGATTAGTAAAAACAAGGTTAACATAGTAATTTTACTTATATAGTAATTTTACTTATTTTCTCGTAATAAATATCTTTTTATTCAATAATTTACATTTATTTCAGACCGTTATAATGAATTTTTGCCGGAAATTGTACAAGATGAATGGACAAGCATGTCGGCCTAATTATTAATATAGCTATTATATTGTTATAATGTATTGGTTGTATATTATATAGCCAATACGCTTATGACCACATTGAGCACTTCCAATTATTTCTTACATATATGATACACTACTTGACACTGCAAAAAATTTTATACGGTAAAATATAGAAATTATTGTATTTAACCGTTTAAATATTAATTTAATTTGCATAATTTATAAGTTACACTTGTATTTATTAGCAACTAAATGATGTAACGATTTTAGTGTTATTTTATTACATTTAACAGAAAGAAAAATTCTGGATGTATTTTGTAATAACAATAATTCATCCAAATTTAATACACGCAGCTGTATTATAGCATCTGCCACAATTATGTATCGGGATGTTGCTGATTCTAAATCTTTCTTTAACCATTTGCAGCACGGTGGCATTGTGGAATGCCATCTTTTCCATAACCATTTTCTAAATAACTAGGGTATTTTCATTCAATTTTCAAACTTTTTTTGTGTTTTGGTATCAGTTATATACATTCAAGAATAAGAATCGATGTGCAATAATTCGAAATCATGGGTGATTTTATTTAATTATACAAATAAACAAACGTTGAAAAATTGCAATTTTTTGGGAGAAAATTCATTATTTCCGAAAGTTCTCAGAATTTCCACGCAAAGATCTTCCTTCAAGGATTCTCGGAGTCGCTGATTACGAATGTAATCAGATTCCCGAAATTCAAGATGGCGGATCCAATATGGCAGACTTAATTTCGAACTTAAATTCGAAAAATGTGAAAATGTATTTATGGGGGTTCTCGGATTTGCTGATTATGAATCCGTGATCAGATTCCCGAAATTCAAAATGACGGATCTAATATGGCGAATCCGAATTCGAAAAACGGTGCAAATCTTATGAAAATGTATATCTGAGAATTTGTAGAGATTTTACACTGGATCAGCACTGTTTTTCGGATTATAGTCGCTATATTGTATCCGCCATCTTGAATTTCGGGAATTTGATTACGGATTCGTAATCAGCGATTCCGAGAATCCCTAGATATACATTTTCATAAAATTTGCATTGTTTTCAAATTTGGGACCGCCATATTGAATCCGCCATTTTGAATTTCTAAATTTTGACCTCAGATTTGTAATCAGCAACTTCGAAAACTCTCGAGTATCAATTTTCAAGTCAATCGTAGGTAAGGAAAAATGTATGCTTCAAAAGGTTAAAGGCTCTACATTCGATATCAAAAGGATTGCTTAAAAATAACTATCTCACAAATTATTACGTACAAATTGTGGTATCTATTTTATCAATTTATTTTGTCTCATGAAATGTGCTGTCAGTAATTATAAGTATATATTTCTCATATAATATGCAACTACGGTACATCGCGTTACTAAATGTATAAAATATGAAGAATCACGTAAATGTCAAGAACGAACATTAAGCGGTCTCCTTTCTAATTACCATTATCGTTGAAATGTCACAAGCAAATGCGTTTTATATGATATAGCCGAATTCATACGCATTGACATAAAGCAAATGCTTTAAGAATACTTTTCAATATGTGAAATTATTGTGTTCAATGATTTAATTGAATTGATATAACGTAATTTAATCTGTATAATATATGTATCTTTTTTCTTTTTTAGTATATTTACATTATATTACATGATAAATATATGTGGCACTCTTAAATTTTGGAGGAGCATTATAGTGAATTTAACAAAATGATATTACGCGAAACCGAAGTCTATCTAATTGTTAAAGTACGTTATGATTATTATATATTATACATATGCATTATGATTGCATTATTTATATAATATATTTATATTATTTTAAAAAAAGCTATTAGATATTCTGCTGATTAGAGATCAAGATAAAGATGAATTTATCCGTTTATATTACAGAGAATGTCTCGAAGAATTAGGAGTTATCGAACCGAGTCTTCTTCCGCAAAGAATTATTTCTAGAGGTACTTGGTTTTACTGCATCTTTATCATAATAAAATATAATAATTCTTAGCTTTTGTAAACTTTATAATTCTGTAATTAAAATTTTTTTGTATATTATAGAAGATACTAAATTTATATCAGACACAAATAAAGAATTTGCATGTCACTGCTTCGAACACGTATGTGTTTTCCAAATGCAAAAAAACTGCCAAAGTATGAATCATTTTTCACTTACCATACAGGTATACATATATAATCCCATATACCTTATATATTATACATATGTTATACATATTTTTGATGAAAAAATATTATAATTCTGTTTATCAATGAAATTATCTTTTATGTGATATTAATATCAAAGTTTCAAAATGTTTTTACAATTTATTGCTCTTAAAATATCCTGTAGCAAATTTATTGCTCGTTGTTTAGTTAATAAAATCGATCAACAGTGCAATGTACTAATAATTTCAAAGATTTACATTTTGAAATTCTTAAAATAAAATGTAAACCTCTGAAATTATTAGTACATTGCACTGATGATCAATTTTGTCAATTTAAACAAAGAGCAATAAATTTATCACAGGATATTTTATAAGACAATAAATTGTAGAAAAGATTTTAAAACTGAATTTTAAAGCAGTAACGAATTTGTTTATTAAAACGTATCTACAATTTATTGCTTTTAAAATATCCCGTGGCAAATTTATTGCTCGTTGTTTAAGTTAATAAAATCGATCAACAATGCAACGTACTAATAATTTGAGAGATTTACGTTTTAAAATTTTCATGAATAACAAAATAATATTTAAAATATATGTTATATTTAAAAGATATAAAGTATAAAAGGTGTCAATTAAGTATAGGTGGGCTTTTTGAACAAAAATAAGATGTTTAACACTACAAAAAAAAAGAGTTAAGAGTGACTCTTAAGTTGGTCGCGGCTGTGACAACACGCGACTCTCTGCGCATTTATTTTAAGGATTGTGAGTGCCAATTTTACATCGATTTTGACTTGTTTCGTAATGATGAATCTTGCATTCAATTTTGGAACTGAAGGCCCATCTCATACATTGCGGAACATATTTCTGACAATTACGAACGGAATATTGGGAAGTTGGTTGGAACTTTATGTATTAATCGCTGAAGAAGGTCTGAAGTGGACCGAAACGTACAACTTATGTAAGAAAATGTAATTTTAAGTTATAGAATACAACTTTATTTGAAACTTTAACGCAACGTTTTTTGCGTGTTGACTTTTAGTGCCTTTTGTCACCCATTATTAAAATATTAACTTACTCAACCCTGATAATAAGCGAAATCAGAGTTTAATACACGAACCGGTGGGCTGTCTACAATTGTATACGCTGACGCGACGTGGCTACATCGCTCTTTCTTAAAAAGATATTATAAGCAGTTTATTATAAGTAGTATGTTTAGCGAAGTGTACTTATTGATGTACAAGTGTATTTATTGATTTTACTTACAAATCTATTAAATTGGCGACAAGGATGAAGCAGTGAGCGGAGTGCGAATGTGCGTGCTATAGCGGTGGTATACTGCGCATATTGGAGCGCGCGACGGATAGCAATCGTACATTGAAAAGGGCTAAATTACTAGAGATTACAACAGGAGAAAGAAAAAAATGACTACGGATAAAAACGTGCGAGGTTCCGGCATACAAACTTCGATAGTAGTGCTGAGTTCCTTTACAATTGAAATCTTCGATACCGGAAATACCACATGGAGAATATGGTTACAACAGCTGCAAGGTACATTTACAATTTTTAACATTCAAGGAAAGGATCGAGTTCCTTATCTTCTGCATTATTACATTGGCTCAGCAGCATTCGATATTTTGTGCGATCGTCTGGACCCGGAAGATTAATTTTATTTCAACAATTTTTCGGCAACCTCACGAGTATACTAGAGAAATTTTTCGAGCCTTAACCGTTGGAAATTGCGGAAAATTTCCATTTTCATTAGCGACGTCAGAAAGCAGGCGAAAGCGTGCAACAGTTCGCGGCAGCGCTGCATAAATTAAGGGGGTATTCTAGTCTAGAGGCCAAATTTTTATGCTATTTTTGCGAATTTTTTTAAAAGAAAGTATGAAGTTTTTTGGGACGAGATTTTTTCCTACATATTTATACATATTTG